AGATTTGTTTGACCCCATTGAGCTTAATGGAGTTAAACCACCAACAGAAAAAGACGAAGACTGGAAGCGGAAGAACCGAAAGACCATTGGCCAGATCAGACAATGGATTGATCACAGTGTCTTCCACCATGTCGCCCAGGAGACTGATGCCTATGCTCTCTGGACAAAGTTAGAAGGCATGTACCAGTCGAAGACTGCTCGGAACAAAGCCCTCCTGATGAGAAGACTTGTGAATTTGAAGTTGAAAGGCGGTATCTCTGTTGCTGAACACACCAGTGAATTCCACAGCCTTGTGAACCAGCTTGCATGTATCAAAATGGAGTTGGAGGATGAGATGCAAGCATTATTATTACTCAGTTCCTTACCAGACAGCTGGGAGACGTTGGTGGTTTCTCTCAGTAATTCTGCACCCGAAGGGAAGCTGACCATGGGAATGGTCACAGACGTTTACGCCGAAATAAAGCATTTATTTAATGTTATGGTTATTATGGGTTTATTTTGAGGGCGTGACATGGTTAAATGTCTCCAACACATTGCTAAATTTGTGGACTTCAGCTTCAACAACTTGATTTCCCTGAAATAATTCTTTTGCAGCTTTCCTACCCATAGGCCTTTTAATCCTTGTAGAGATACTACCCTCATCGATTGGATTATTACCAACCGTTTGGATTGTTACCAACACTTGGATTGTTGTCATCTTTAAGAGAAAATGCAGTCATCCATAAGGGAATCGGGGGCTGAATTAGGGGGAAAACGATGTATGTATCATTAACTTCACTGTATTCGTAGGAGTTACATCTTGCCACCTGATATTGTTTTGCAAGATTAGCAAACAATGTTCAAAAGAAAAAAAAAATCTTTTCATCTTGATGGTATAAAAGTTTTACTTGAAACATTTATATCAATAAAATATTAAATTAAGTAATTAGTTAATTTTTTTATGAGACGAAATAAAAAAAAAACTAACATAATAAATGAAGATGAAATCTTACTATATCAACTTGAGATTGGGTGTAGATTTTTTGCTTGCGTTAAACACCCACGAAATTTGTTGCAACATTTCATGGTTACACCTCATTGAGATGATATAGATACTTGTGTTCTTAAGTGATCATTCTACAACGAACAATAATTTTCAAAAATTCTTCCCCAAAAATGAGCATGAGATTGCGAATTCCTAATTATTGGGCCTTCAGTAATGTGACACCAAGCTCAACAAATTGCCACATCTTCTTGAGTGATGAATGATTTTCCTCTCTTTGTTTTTGATGAACCTTCCATACTGATTAGGTGAAAAATAAAAAGAAAAATATAATTGAAGATATTTTGTTGTGAACTCAAATTGGTGAAACAAGGTGTGTGTATCTATACTACTAAAAAAACATGACCTTTTTTTTTAGCTGCTTAATATATAGTCGTTAGTGTCTTATCTGTTTGGAAAAGTAGTCATTTTTTACTTCCAGATTGAAATAGAGTCGTTGGGCTCATGTTACACATTCCAAGACATTACCCTCATCGTTGGATCTTGATATAATCCAACGGCTGAGATTAACTTCTAGAACCATCTTCCTCTTTATGTCTCTCTCTTTCTCACTCTCACTGATCGTCTTCCCCGATTGTTTTTCTTTCTCTCTCTCTCTCTCTGTTTCTCACTGATCGTTTTCCCCGATCGCCTTCCTCTTTCTTTCTCTCCCTCTCTCTCTCTCTCTCTGTTTCTCACCGATCATCTTTGTCACAACCCAAACCCGCCCCTATAGGTTTAGCATCATGACCGGCCAGTAATCTGAGATTACCAAAAGCCTGCTTAACAATAATACAATAATATTGTTGGCTCCATCCACTACCCACATGGTAAGGAGCCCACCATCCACATGGTGTGGGTGGCACCATGTGGTAAAAGAAGGTGGTGGAGGGCAACACCAACTCACTAAAGGAAGATAGTGAGGGTGGCACTACCTTGGCCAATTATGGCTAGCACTTCACCTACTCCTCCTCTCTTGGTTATAAATTGAGATGAGTGAGGAGGGGTTTGAATCATCAGAAATTGGAGAGTGAGAGCTGTGAGTTGAGTGAGTTTTATCTCCTCCTCTGTATTTGTATTTTTGCTCCATTTTAGTGATAATTCTCATTTCTGTCCGTGGATGTAGGCATTGGGCCGAACCACGTAAATATTGTGTTCTCTGTGTGTGTGAGATAATTCTCTGGGTGTCTTTGATCCTAACATGGAGCAAGGCGGGTGGATCCCAGTAGTGAATCATAGGAAAAGGCGAGAAGTATGGAGCAAGGAAGCAAGAAAAGGTTTATTCTCTATCTTTGTGGATAATATACCGCAGAAGATGGATCCTAAAGATTTGTTTCAACTATTCACAAAGTTTGGAGTAGTGAGGGATGTTTTTATCCCACAGAAGAGAAGGAAGGCCACAAACACTAGATTTGGTTTTGTTAGATTTGATTGCTCCGTAGCGGCGAACATCGCTATCCAGAAAGCCAACGGATTGTGGGTCGAGGATAGAGAGCTTAAAGTCAAAGTGGCAGAGTATGGCAGAATCGAAGATAGATCAGTTAAAAGGAACCAATCTGGAGGGATTTTTGGTGGAAATGAAGATAGGGGAAGGTTTGATCGAGTTCGTCATGGTTTACAGAGATCCTTTGCGGATGTGGTCAAAGACGGAATCGATACACCGATGGGCAAAACAGCGTCTACCATTAAGGTAAATGAAGAAGGGCATGGTTGGCTTTTTGAGAGCGCGATTTTGAAATTCAAGACAGAGTACTCTTTGCAAAGCATTCGGATGGTGCTTAAAGAGAACGGATTGGGACATGTGTTGGCTAGAAAGGGAGGTGGCAGGAAAGTAGTCTTCACTTTCTTATCTAAAGAGGATATGTTGGTTAACATATTGTCGATTAAAGAATGGTTCAAGGATTGGTGTGAGTCTATTAAAATCTGGGAATCAGACGATACAGCAGAGCAAGAAAGGTGCCTGTGGCTCAGATGTTACGGTGTCCCCCTGAGCATGTGGAATAGAAGCACCTTTAACAAGATCGGTAGCGTGTGGGGCAGTGTTCTAAGTCTGGATGGGAATATCAGTCAACCTGAGACTTTCAGCCATGGTAGAGTCAGAATTGCAACGGGCTGTATGGAGTTTATCAATCAGACTATTAAGTTGGAATGTAAAGGGAGAATCCATTCAGTTTTGGTTTGTGAAGAACAACCACATATTTCGTTTGACAGTGGAAGCACATTATCCAGCGAGTGGGTGGAAGACCGTAACTCTAATGAGGTTGATAAGCAAGATTCGATAGGGGTGGGTTATGAAGATAAGTCTGTTGATAATCTGGTAGTGGAGGATGAAGATGATGAAGCTGAGCTGGAAACCAATCTGGTTGACACCATAGTTGAAGAGACTACAAGTGGCGTGGGGAACAACTTGGTGGTTGAGGAGCGTATATATGGGGCAGAACACAGACCGCAGACCATTAACCTGCATCCAAAACTGAATCCACACAGCAAATTCCAAACTGGATCCACCTCAGCTGCATTGCTTAATTTGATCCATATTATTAATTAATTCCATGGTAGAGTACATGAATCCCTTAGAAGCTGCTTTAACCCACATAGCGAATCTGAACTTAATTGTCTCACATAACTCAGGGATTCATGTGAGAGGATCTGCAGGGGATGGCTATTATGCTGGTGTAGGAATGGATTTCGGTGGCTGCTGTGGACTACTGAAGATTAAGCTTAATATTAAGCCTATTTTGCTGGACTGCCTTACGCAGTGGGTATGCACCAGCAGATTGGTTTTATGTGGCTGCTGCAGAGTGGATGAATTGTATTTGGTGCAGTGGGATGATAGGTGATATGCTGCTGTGGGCTGTTTGTGGCTGCTAAGTTCAAATTTTGTTTTGTGGCTGCTATGGGCTGTTTGTGGCTTGGTATCTGCATTGTCTGTCTACTGTTGCTATCTGTTCTAAGCTGCTACATTGGGCTGAAATTTGCTTGTTCAGAGCTGTTGCATTGTTCGGTTGGTCCTGCTTCGGTTGAAGTCCTGGTAGCAGTGTCTTCGAATTATCAGTGCAGTGTTAATCTGCCTTGGCCAAATCTTGGATGCTTCGGGTGTGCTGTGTAGGGGTAATCTGCAGTATGTTGGATGTGCATTGGAGTGCTTGATTTCAGTGGTTTTTGTTTTCAGTGGCCTGTTCTTAGCAGGTTTTTTGTTTCTGCTCTTAGCAGAATTTGGATTGCTGCTGTGTTTTTTGTTTTTGCTTTCTCTTTTGTTGGTTTCTCACCAACTTGGAGGTTTGAATTTCCTCTAGCTCCTTCCTCCTCTTTATTGTACGTGCTTCATCAATAAAATTTTCTTTGCCGATCAAAAAAAAAAGTAACTCCTGTGTTTATTTCGATTGCTGCTGTGTTTTTTGTTTTTGCTTTCTCTTTTGTTGGTTTCTCACCAACTTGGAGGTTTGAATTTCCTCTAGCTCCTTCCTCCTCTTTATTGTACGTGCTTCATCAATAAAATTTTCTTTGCCGATCAAAATCATAAGTAACTCCTGTGTTTATTTCTTTGTAACACAACTTTGATATAACATCTTAACATGCCTATGTATCTTTATTGATTCATTTGGTGTTTTCAGGCTCAAAGAAGGGCTAGAATCCACACATTACGGCTGGAGGAGGGTGCAAAAAACGATGCAGAAGAGCTTGAGAAATGTGACAAGGCCACTGTCCCTTTTCAATGATTATAAGCTAGACAAAGTCAATATCCAGAGTTTGTGGTTCGGTTATCTTTATTTCTAAAAAGAACTTATCAAAGAATTTTTTTTGTTTCTAAATAATCTTCCTTACAGATGATCCAACTAACAACCCAAATATTTCTGGAGACCCATACAAGACCCTCTTTGTTGCTAGGCTTGTGAGTAACAGTGCCTTACTGTTTTTCAATTTTCAATTATTTCCTAATATTTAACTTTGTATGATGCCTGCCTTCTTTCAGAATTATGAAACATTGGAGAGCGAAATAAAAAGGGAGTTTAAAGCTTATAGGCCCATCAAGCGGGTAGGCATTAAAGAGCACCTCTTAGTGGTGCTCGGGTTATATTGCCTTTTGGTTTGGTAAGAAGTTCATTTTTTTAATCACATTTTATTTCCACCTTTTTTAAGAGAAGTGTGTTTATATTCTCAAATTTCAAAGTTTTGATTTGAAATCCAAAATTTAGCCGGTGAAAGAATTCCTTCACAAGTTATTTCCGGTTTATAAATTGTATTCTATTTTCCAAACATAATTTTTTACCCAGCAGGTTCTTATTATTTGCTCAAAGAAGTATAAATACTGCATCGATAACAGATTTTTTTTAATTACGAATATGTTTATGGGCATTTGAAAGTTCCTTTGTCATACCTCCTACAAGTTGGTATTACGAAGAGTTCGATGTTTGAAAATTTTAACATCTATTTTTCCCTAACTTGATTGCAATATGCATATCATAATTCAAGTTCTGTATTTCTATGGTAAGCACAATTACAGATGTATATTCCATGATCTATGCCATTTTAATGTCAAGTTTGAAAGGGAGAATGAAAGAGCATCACTTCGCTGTCAATTATAATTGTTGGAGGGTCAATCAACTTTGGAAATATTGCACAGGTATATTTGCCATTAACATGTAAATTTATTTTCTTTATCCTTCGGAACATCCTTGGGAATTGGTTGCTTGGTTAGTTTCTAGGTACTGTTGGGATATAACGGGCAGCTTCCTCGTACCAAAAATGACCTGTGAGAACTGATGGTACGTAAATAGGACACCTAGATTAGAAGTTAAAATCGAAAACGCCTTAAACTTAGACGAAAAAGGGTGTTCGGGGGGCGAAAAAACAAAATAGCCCCCCAACCACTGTTGGGATGTAACAGGCAGCTTCCTCATGCCAAAAATGACTTGTGCGAACTGATGAAACATAAATAGGACACGTAGATTGGGAGTTAGAGTCGAAAACGCCGTAAACTTAGTTGAAAAAGGGGGGTTCAGGGGGCGAAAATGCAAAATAGCCCCCCAACCACTGTTGAGATGTAACGGGCAGCCTCATCGTGCCAAAAATGACCTGTGAGAATTGATGGTATGTAACACAGTGAACACGTACACACTCTATATTACATTACACCGGGCAATGTTCCCTACACTAAAATCTACCACAAGAATAAAAGCAGGTTTCAAAATTATTACAATCAAAAGGGGAAAAAGTGGTGTATGTAATGGGGAAAAGCAAAGGAAATGCTGACATACCACCAATGGTTGTCAAACATCAGAGCATCCTGAATGACCATCCGTACAATATTAACACCCATTAGCATGATAATCGTAAAATCAAACATAAGTAAAAATGTGGATGGGAGAAGAGCCCCATGGCATGCACAAAATGAATTTCTAAAGATGAAACCAACCCTGGGCTCACCCAAGGCTAATAATAGGTCACCAATTATATGACTCTTATGTGGGCCACAGATGATTGCAGGTCATAGCCTGTTGAGATTTAAAGCAATGCTGAGCGAAATGGTGAGTCAACACCTAGGTGATAAAAAATGAGCGCTTCAAGCTTTAGCGTGAGGCACCGGATGTCAATGCGCTTCTTTTCCCATAGTCTTTTTTTTTCTTTTATCAACAAACACACCATTCATTTTGTTTGACTTTTGAGATTGTAAAAAATATTTAACACACCTTATGATAGCACTAACTATCAACAGACACACTTTCTAATTTTTTAATTTTTTTGTTTTTAATTTTTGAAACTTTGCCTTCTTTCTACATGCAGAAAGTTCTTTTGATTTTTTCTTAATTTTGCTAAACTTATGTTGCTCATGAATGAGAAAAGTGAATGATTTTCGGGGGGGAAAAAAAAAAATCTTTGATATGATAGGTATGTTTGGTGTGTTGATGTTTGCAATTTTGAATCATATGTTGCTCTGGAACCTTGTCCTTTCTACCACTTACAGTTTTGTTTTTGTTTTTGTCACATCACTTACAGCTTTGATAAGGTGTATTTTTGTTGATTGTATGGTTACTTTGTTGTAGTTTTTGATGAATTACATGGCTGCTTTGCTGAATTGTTGTAATTTTGCTAGATTGATTAATTTTTTTGAATTACTTTTAAAAATGCTCTTGATTTGAAGTGTCTTTCAATTGAATTGGTTTGTTGATATTTGATTATTGATTAGATGTCGTAGTCAAGCGAAAGTAATAGAAAATATCCAACATGCACAAATGGTAAATCCCCAAAAATTGTCTAAGTTTCTTTGCAACTTTTGCAACAAAGAAATAAATGGGTTGTTTACGGGGTCAAGCAACATCTTGCCGATGGTAATAAAATATGGTTGCTTGTAAAAGGTGTTCCATCTCAGGCAAGAGATGAGATTAGAGATTTTATATCCAAGAAAAGTCAAGCAAAGGAATACCCAATTTTGATGAGATAGATGACAATGAGGAAGATGATAATATTGTTGAGATTAATCAACATGCCCCTAGTCAAGGTTCTACTGCTCAAAGAAGTAAATAGCAGCATCAACATTGAGTAAAGAAGTTGATTTTCTTAATGTTGTCAATGATATTTAAAGCCTTAGATTTGGTGAAAGTTGTGGAGACGCCATCACCTCGCACTTAGGCCTTAGGAGGCCTTCGAGCCTCAGCTTGCTTATCACCTTTAAAAACACTGAATTTTGGAGTAAATGGAAGTCTACACTAATCTTATTGAAAATAACCGTGGTAAGCGTTTGGTATTAACTTCTTTCACTTCTATTTAATAGTGATGCAATTTACCAAATGAGTCAGTCCTACCTGAGTATTTTCTTATCTAAAAAAATAATATTTTGTTAAGCTCGGAAAAAAACTGTAGTAGTGTATAAAAATCAAAGCACAAACCCAACTAAGATAAATATTTTGTTGTTTGAGCTTGCAAAATGGCACTGGTATATAAATAATTACAGGCACAGGAATAAATAAATAAATAAACAATAACATAATGAAATGGAATGAAGAGGTGCATAAATTTAAGTAGATGTTTACACCACCAAGCCACCGCGGAAAAACTTTAACCCAGGAACTAAGTAAGATTGGCATGACAGGATAGAGACCTCCAAGGGAAAAATTTTACCATCTGAGTCAAGGTTTCTAGTGGTAACTTGAACCTTCATGCAGTGAAGGCGAGAAATACAGTCATCTTTGGACTCTGAAATCGTCATAGGATGGTGCAGCAACACGGAAACCCATAACAAGCAGAACTCATCGCCACTTATATGAGCCAAGCGCGGAGGAGTGTCATTCTCTAGCACTCCGAAATCCTTTCCGCAGTCATGGATAGGTATATTACCCTCAAACCATATATTTGTGATTAAATCATATCCAACTAGGCCCAGACCATGAACTGAATACCAATACAACTTATCGTTAACAGCTAAAGCTGGCCCTCTAAACATATATGGGCTAAACTTGGGGCATATTTCAAACACTCCTCTTTCCCACTTTTTGGTATTTACGTGGTAGATTAGAAGGGCACGATCCTCTGGCGAACCCACCACAATAAATGGAATGGGGACCTCCCCAGCTGCTGAAAATATTCTGTCAACAGTATGCGGAATTTGTGGAGGGTCAGGTAGAGATTCCCATGCATTTACGCTCGGATCATAAGCCATTGCCCACGGTGACGGCCTCTCCAAATCAGTGGGGGTGGTGAAAGGGCTGGGCTTGGAGGCTGAAAATAACTTGTCAATGTCGAGGCATGGAGGTGGAGGTAACTCGTCGTGCTTTCCATTGAAGCTCAAGAAAAGCTTACCATCCTCCTTGTTCAACAGTGAATCCCACTCCAAAAAACCACCGAGGCAATAAAACATGCCGCCAAGAATGAAAATGTGGGCCGAAAAAGCAATCTGATTAGGCATTCGAGGAAGACGCTCCCATCCCGCCATGGGAGTAGTAAGGTCAATGCGATTCACTCGATTGGATTCTTTCCAAGCCGATCGTCCTCTCCGATAACCAGTCCAGTTATTAACAGTGTATAACATTTTGGATCCTAAAATCGACCAACCAAGTATCAAATCCATGTTTGCAGTGACTTTGGGGAAGAGATTTAGGGTTGGTTTGGGATGTTCTAAAAAAGTGCACTTTTTGACTTATTGGCTTATATGGGTTGGGTTTGGGTTGGGTTTGATGTGATGTGTTAGAGAGGTGATGTGATTTAAATAAGATGATGTGACTTAAATAGGATAGTAACTTTTTGACTTTTTGTATTATTTAGTAGATGCCAAACTTAGCCTTACAACTGCGGAGTCATCGTCGTCGTGAAATCGAGAAAGACGGTTCATGTATTTGGGAGGAGGAGGAGGTTGGTTGTGTTGGATGTCGTCGGAGACATCAAACACGTACCATTCGTACTTGAAATCGACGTCATGTACACCCATCTTTTGCTAGATTTAAGAGTTGGTTTGGGATGTTCTAAAAAAGTGCACTTTTTGACTTATTGGCTTATATGGGTTGGGTTTGGGTTGGGTTTGATGTGATGTGTTAGAGAGGTGATGTGATTTAAATAAGATGATGTGACTTAAATAGGATAGTAACTTTTTGACTTTTTGTATTATTTAGTAGATGCCAAACTTAGCCTTACAACTGCGGAGTCATCGTCGTCGTGAAATCGAGAAAGACAGTTCATGTATTTGGGAGGAGGAGGAGGTTGGTTGTGTTGGATGTCGTCGGAGACATCAAACACGTACCATTCGTACTTGAAATCGACGTCCTGTACACAGATACAGACGAATTTACCTGGTGAAGACGACGACGACGACGACGACGACGATGATGCAATTCCGATACTTGGATTTTGGGGACCGACTTCTTCCACGTTGATTTCCATCAAACCCTAAGGTAATACAATTCCTAACTCCGCAACGAAAAGATTGCAGATCTAAAAATGTTTTTTTTGGTTTTCCTTTACTCAATCCAAAATAACAATAATAAAAAAATTAAAAAATTAAAATTTTCATAAATTTAAAGATTATTTACAGAGAGATCCTTAACGTCAAATTTGTACATTTTCATAATTTAAGAATATTTATACCTTATTTTTATAATTTAAAAAGTAAAGTGATACTTATCAATAATTTAAGAATTCATTTATATGTTTTTATCATTTAAGAGATTGAAGTGATACTTTTAAATAGTTCAGAGGATTTTTGTGTAAATAACCTTAAATTTAATATAAAAAAATTCTCACGGCAATAAATGTCACCACTAATGATTATATTATACGTAATTTATATTTTATATTTTTATTGGGAGAAGTATTAATAAATTCTATTTCTGTCTTGCACTCCAATCAATCCTTCCAAAAAAATTATGAGTAATTCTACTTATACACTAGTTTAATTCCTTACACCTTCACAATTTAATTTTTTTATATTATTTTTTATAATTCCTTTATTACCTTCATCCTTAATCTTCATCCTTCTCCTTACATCAAAACCTAAAAAAACCCCTAACCTCAACGTTAATTCTCTCCCACCATCACCTCCAACCAATATCTTTACCATTGTAACCCTTTGCCGCCGCAGCTGCAACCGCAACCACAACCACCACTCACTGTCGCAACCCTTTGCTGCCACAGCCTTCTCATCGTCGCAACCATTATCCCTTTCTTCAACCTTTCAGATCTGTGTTTTCCACCATCGCAATCCACCACCATCGCAACGTCTTCTCTGCTCTAATTCTTGTAAATCTTAGCTTTATAACCCCAATCTTGATCTGGGTATTTGTTATTTTGATACATAGAAGCTTTAAATCATTTGGGTATGTACCAATCAGAATGATGAGGAAGAGAGAAAGGGAAAACCCTTGTACAGTTTGTGGACACTACCACAAGTACAAAGAGGGCGCGGTTTGTGGGATTTGCGGCTACCACATACCGACAGTGTTGAAGAAAACTTCACTACAAGTCAGTGTTTTTCCGTCAAAGATCGTGCCGGAGTTTCTTTATCTGGGAAGCTATGACAATGCATCGAGGTCAGAACTTCTAAAAACCCAAAGGATTTCTCGTATTCTTAATGTGGGTTTCTTGTTTTTACTAATATGTTTATCACATTATCACTTTTTCGATTGTGTCCCATTTCAGTGTCCCTATGCACCGATTGGTATCTCCAAATAACCAAATAGCCAGCAACGACGCGTGAGATACGACGTCGACCATGCTTCTTCGTTGAAGATTGAATGTGGGAATGAATGGCTTTAATGAGTAGAAGGGGATTTTTTTTTCTTCTCAAATTCAAATGTTACGATATGATATTCGAAATCAAAATCACGTTTACAATTTTGGTTTCAAACGGTGGATATGATTTCAAAATATTGTGGATGTTGATACGAAAACTCGTTTTGGCAATGCGTTGAATATGGCCCAAAAAATCCTTAGTAAGATTAGAATAAATGTGTAATTTCATAATATAGGATTTTTCGTAAATCACGGATACCACCTATCAAAAAATGTGGTAAACATAGGATAAAGATGTCATTTAAACCCAAAAATGGGATTGTTGGGTTTATAAGTTTGAGTGATTCTACTTACACCACACTTTTAAGTCTTTACACCCTTTTAATTTTATTTATTTTTATTCTTATCTAAAATTACCAAAAACACCTTCCACTCCAACCTTTTCATTACACTCCCATTTCATCACTAACACCTCCATCGGTCCACCCACCACCGCCAATCGCTGCTAACCCCTCTCAATATCCAAGTATAAGTCTCATTCAATCAACTAATCCCAATTGAATTCATAAGAAAACCACATAAACCAAGACTACATTCACAAATTCACAGAAATCACTCTCACGATCCATACTACATGTACCCAAAAACATTAAACAACACAAAATCGATTGAATTGAACAAAAACTCGATTATTACATTGGGGTTTTTCCAATGTTGCTTTATGTCGATCTCAGTTAGTATTACAACCTCATCTCTATATATTTTCCAAAACAATAATGTTTTTTGTTTGTAAATCCCCAATCAATGTGACTTTGTGAACTCACTGTGGTTTAACATTTTATGTAGGTTTGATAGTTGTTTTATGTTTACTGTGATTCATGATTTTTAGGAAAAAATTTGCAATTCATCAACTATTGTATTTTGTGTAATGGCATCAAATGGTATTGGGAGTTTGACTAGTTTGTTGTACGAAGTGTGGGTGTGTTGTCGAATGTATCAATGAAGATATGTGCTGAAATTGTGTTTGAATCTCCTATCCAATGTGACTCTGCGTGCTACTGGAACGTTATTATGTTGTGTTACGATGTGTTGCAGGGTAGTGTATATGTGGAATTTTGTGTATTATTTGGTGATGTTACTATAACAGTCAGTAGGAGCATGTGGATTTACACATTACATTTGTTGCGTCAGCATGAGTGTTTTGGTTGCGTGTATTTTCACTTTATAATTTGTTGTTCATGTTATATTAACCACAATATTCACATTGGCAATTGACTCCAACAAAAGAAAACTTTGATATCTTACCTTCGGATAGATCCACCATACAAGGAATGAGAAAAAAAAAAAAAAAACAAGGGGGCAAAATTGTAAACCCAAATGTCAATGAATTAATTCCACATTTCCAAAAATAATAGGATTAATTGGTTTTATAAGAAAATATTTGAGATTAAATGAAACACCATTTCTTAGGATGAGATTTATGAATAAATTTCCTTTAGTCGAGATATACATACACACACTATGGAAAGTCAAGTCTCATGTGAGTCTGTTCGATTTAGTTTTAGAATTATGATTTAAGGGTGAAGATATATTTTTAGTTTTGAATTTTGAATTTTGAATCATGATTTGAAAATATAAAATTTGTTTGGTTATGAGTTTTGAAAATAGTTCTGAGATGATTTGTAATTTTTAAATTTTTTTTTTGATTGATGTATAGAATGTGAGAGGAGAGAAAAAAAGTGATTGATTGATAATAATAAAAAAAATTAAAAAAAGAGGAGTTTTCAAAATAATTTTAAATTGTATTTTAAAAATATGTTTCGTTAACATATTTCATCCAAATCATGATTTAAAAACAAAATTGAGTAAACGCTACCATTGTGTTTGGTTTTAATTTTTTGAAAAATTGAGTTTTTTGTTTTTTCATATATTTTTTTTAATTTTTAGTGAATATTTTTTAAATTTTAAACAATTTTTTACTTTTTTAAATGTACCTTACTTGAATGTATCTAAAAAGTAAAATATTCAAAAAAAAATATTTTTAAAAAATTAATAAATACATAAAACTACAAAAATGTATTAAATTTATATATAGATATATTTATATTTTTGGTATTTAGTAAAATTTAAAAAAAAAAAAATCACAATTATTATACTTTTTAAGTATATTTATGTTAGGTGAATCTTCAAAAACAAGGAAAACGAAAAAATTCTAAAAAGTGAATCTTGAAAAACAAAACCAAACAAGTAGAAGTTTCAAAGCAGAATAGTAGTCTTAGCTTTGAACAACCTAATACTGAATCATGTGTTTGTATTTAGGAGTGATAAACGAATCAAACAGCTTGAGCTCGATTCGTGTTCGGCTTGTTAAAAACTTATTTAAACTCGGTTCGTTAAATAAAGTGTTGGCTTAATTGTGTAATTAAATAAAATAGACAAACAGATTCGTACAAACTGAAATTGATTTACATGAAAAGAAATCATGGGATTATACCATACAACTTAATGAACAGAAATACATAAAACATAATTAGGAAAAGAAGTGCAAACCGTGATACCACAATCTCCTTAAAACAGATTAGCTGCCTCACCATGGGTATTGGAGGTACGTCGACTTCTGTCTCCCAAGATATGACAGTTTAGACCGGCTAACGCAGAAGCACCTTCTGTTATTTTTGGCAAACCGACAATGATATCATTCTCTCACACAAGAAGAATATATTGTAAAAGGAGACTGACTTGATTATAATATGAGAGCAAAAATTATGTAACAAACTAAGGAAGATAAGCCTCCTTTTATACACAATGGGAGAGAGAGGATCAGCCTCCAACCATCAAGGTTGGCACCAAAAAATGTAATTTTGAGTTGTATTTTAAAAATGTATTTAGTTAACATATTTCATCCAAATCATGATTTAAAAACAAAATTGAGTAAACGCTACCATTGTGTTTGGTTTCAATTTTTTGTTTTTCATATTTTTTTTATTTTTAGAGGATATTTTTAAAATTTTAAACAATTTTTACTTTTTTAAATGAACCTTACTTTAATGTATCTAAAAAGTAAAATATTCAGAAAAAAAATATTTTAAAAAATCAATAAATACACAAAAATACAAAAATGTATTAAATATATATATATATATATATTTTATATTTTTGGTATTTAGTGAACGTTTTTTAAAAAAATTCACAACTATTATACTTTTTAAGTGTATTTATGTTAGGTGTATCTAAAAATTAAAAAAATTACTTAAAATATTAAAAAAATTCAACAAAAACAAAAAAACAAGGAAAACAAAAAAATTTAATTTTTTCAAAAATGAATCCTAAAAAACCAAACCAAACAAGCTAAAGTTTCAAAGCAGAAGAGTAGTCTTAGCTTTGAACAACCTAATGTTGAATCATGTGTTTGTATTTAGAAGTGATAAACGAATCAAACAGCTCAAGCTCAATTCATGTTCGGCTTATTAAAAGCTCGTTTAAACTCGGTTCGTTAAATAAATAAGCCAAGCTTGAATACATTTTAAAGCTCATTAAGGTTTTTAAACTAAACTTAAACAGTTGATTCGATAAACCTAAAATTATATAAAATATCAAACCACTTGAACTCGACTTGATAAAAGCTCGTTTGAAATTGACTCAAAAATTTAACGAACCAAACTTCATCAAACCAAGCAGCTCACTAAAGTTATCAAATCAAACTTGAACAAAGCTCGTTTAAAATCGACTCAAAAGTTTAACGAACCAAACTTCATCAGACCAAGCAGCTCGCTAAAATTATTAAATCAAACTTGAACAACTAATTGTTCGGCATCCTTCCCTAGTTTGGTCTGAATAGACACCAAACAGTCGAGAGCTTCACCTGAGACGCCAAAACACAGAAAAATACATAAGTAAAATAGGGCAAAAAAAAAAAACCTTACTTAATGTAATATAATATTACAAAAAGACAAATGTCAATGAGACCGACAAAGCTATTGAGCCACTATTTTACTAAATAATCATGGTTAGAACTAGAATTAGATTCGGACAGGATAACAATGAATTTATTCTTACAGAAACACAACTATTATGAAACATAACCTAGATTGTCAAATTCAACCTTTTATGCACTAGGCAACACAAGCTATCGCGCCTCCTCGTAATTGTCAATATTTTTATCATCTATGCAAGTTTTGTCTCTATATATTAATTTCTCAGCATACTGTGTATATAGCTATATGTATAGACACACATGTACACATGTGAGTATGGCTAAAACACTATGATCTTACTATATCAACATAGAAGCAATCACGAGGACAAAAGAAAAATAGGCACAGAGGTTTTCCACACATTTTTCATGAATTCCACATAATTTAATTTTTTATATTCACATATACATGTAAATGTAAAGCATTATTAGTAAACACCTGTAAAAAGTTCTAATACTAAATGAAATAGAAATAAAATATACATCTCAATAATTCTTCAATGTTTCTTATAAATTTTTCGTCATCCTAACATTTTCAAAATATATGTATATATCATCCACTTTATTAGCTTCAATCGTATGACCTGACTGTTGAACATGTAGGTCATTTGATTCAAGCCATCTCACTAGGTTAACATCAGGGTCAGTTTTGAAAATGTGAAGTTGTAAATTGCAGTAATGGTTTTCAACAATCATATCAAATAGAAAGGATCAAAGAGACAAAATGACCAAAACAAAGCTCACCAACTGGAAGAGATTCTTCTCCAAATGCCTTCTCCTGGATGCGCAAAACTTCCAGGGCTACGTGCTCAGCTTCCGCATACTGGTTTAAGTTGCGGAGCAAGATGTAATATTGGAAAGGTGATGGACTGATCATCGGGTCCCACGGACTTCAACATGATCTGCAAACTCCTCCGCAACAAGTGCTCAGCCTCCACAAAGTTCTTACGAATAAGAGGTTGCAAGATTTACAAGATGGCTAACTAAGCTAGAGTGTTCTTTTCCTCTGTACTTCTCAGTGATGAAGCATTCTTCCAGTAGCTCACGGCCTTCTTTTCCTCTGAAAGCAATTGATACATGATTAAGAAGATGATGCCTTAAAATCAACCACCACCAAATTTATTTATTATTTTTTAAAATTTACATGGTTCAATCTATCAACCACATCTCCCAAAAATTCACATGCTGCATGGATTGTGAATTTCTACCTATCTGTTAGGAAAAATATGTGATTCCCCACAAG